GCAGGCCAAACTGGAAGCCTCGCCATCAGTGCAGACAGGGTAAGAACGGAGCTGAGCCCAAGGAGTCCGCTCCTGTCAGCTGCTGACACCCCACAAAGTTTCCTTCAGACTATAAGTGCAGATTATAGGGCAAATCCATTTTATTTCTAATTAAAACAGATGGCAAATCCCATCCCAACAGTGAGTTTACTCGCACACTGATATTTCTTCAACTAAATACTCTCTCGCCCTCCCCACCTGTCCACATACATCTGTAGACGTGTGCACGTGTGTAGATAGGCACCTGTGCATATATATATATACACATGTTCACACAGACGCTACTAGTACTTTGAAATTCATTCTTCCTTTAATCAAGGCTTCCTCAAAACAATAAAAGATGACCTTCAGGAGACGGCCTGTACCCAAGTCTAATCATTTCAGGGTTTTTCTTATTCTGATCTAAGTGATTTTCCAGAGGCCTGGTGCTGTCATTCTGCCTGAGGTGGGGGCTGACTTTGCCTGTGGTTTTGTAATTGGCAAATAATATAACAACATTGCACCACTTCACCCCCCACCCCAAAAACAAACAAACGAAAAAACCTGGAAAACAGAAGGGAAAAGAACTCTTCCCCCGTGCATTGTCTTAATACCACAGCAAGGACCGTTTTGTTCTTTGTCTTCTGGTACAGTTTGGTAGAATGCTCTCTTTCATGTAAGACTGTTTCAGAAGAGTTTCTCTATGATACTAGATACTCTCCACAATGACCATTTTAAAGGCCGCACTGAGTGGCTGCAGCCCATCGTTTACAAACCGCTTCCCTATTGTTAGGCATTCAACTGCCACTGGTTTTCACACCTTTAAGCTGGAACGAACATGTTTCTAAAAGCTAATAATTTAAAGCAGCGTTCAGAGATGGCTCTCCATCACTAATCTAAAAGTACAGGGTTTATATATTTACAGCTCACATTTGATTATGAAATCTATTTTGAGGGTAATTAAGACATTTACATTCCATACAGCTCCTTGTTATCTAGTGTTCCCCAAGCCAGACAGGCACAGCCATGACTAGCCATTTTCCCCTCAAGACGGCACAGTCCAGTGAATTCTCAAACACAGCTTTCTTATGGGAAGTAAACGCCATGACCTCCCGTTGCTTTGGAGCCAAGGGATTAACTCCAAGAACCAGAGTCCCTGGTTCCCTGGGGTGACACGGCCAGGGCAAGCCATCATGTCAAATGCTACCTTTGTCCTATGCTTAGTCCAGAAGTCAAGGAGGCCCTCACCAAGGCTGTGCTCCGTGGCCAGGTGTGTCCCTGGGACCCACCTGCAGGTTCTCTGAATAACCAGCACCCAGATGCTTTGTGGCCACAGCTCAGGGAAGTCACTCAGATGAGGTCCAGCTGTTTGATGCTTTTTGAAGCTTATCGTCTGTGCATGGGTCACTTCAGGGTACAGAACTCCTGGGCAGGGTGGTGGTTTAATGCGTGGGATTCAAAGGAATAGGGGTGCGGCCCACTGGCTGTGTGACTGAGCAAGCTAAGAAAAAATTCTGGTGCCTCAGCCTCTAAATGTCTGCAGCATGAGAATAACAAGAGAGCCACACTATGGGGTGATGGTCAAGGTCAAGTAGAAAATGAAAGCAAGGAATGTAGAAGGCTGCCATTGGGTGAGGGCACAGAGCTCGTGGCCTGAATGTTGACGGCGCACGGGGAAATGTGGACATTCGTTTGCTGAATGCATGAATGACTGAAGGACTGATGCACGACCTAGTGTGTGCCAGAAGGTTCCATGTGTCCTGTGGCCTCTCATCTGCAGAATGCCCAACTTTCTTTCCCAACAAAATCATTTTCTTAATGGGAAAGATGCAGCCACCTTAATAGGAAAGTAACTCTTCATGTCCAGGGAAGTTCTAGTCTAAAGCTTTAGAAAAACGCCATCCAACCATCCAAAGGCACTCAACCCTATCTGGAGCCAAAATAAGTCAATGACAACACTCGCCTGGTGTGTTCCCTTTCACTGCGGTTGTTAGGACAACTCAATTACTATTACTCAAAAAAATATTCAGCAACAACACACTGAACTGATAAAAATTCCTATTTATTACCATCATTTTTGTTCACAAGGAAATGATTTTTATATACTTAGCAATTCCCTGTAAAACAGAAAAGAGCTTAGGAGAGGTTGGTTTTTTTTTTCCCATTATGATTATTTTGCCACTAGCAATTAATTTTTCTGATTTGTTTTATTAGTTTGTTGGTTGGGTCCAAGACTCAGAATATCTTTCCAAACCAGCAGACAGATGTAAGAAAATTATTTCACTGCCTTTCCTGGCAAGTCGTGCTGATGAATAGCATGGCAGGACAAACTGACTCAGACACACATTTTTCAGGAGTGGCAGGGAAAAGGCTGAAAAATTACCAGTAAATTGCTTTTGGTAAAAATGCTCTCCCTTTCAAATTTCCCCTAGTACAAAGGTCTCAGAATGATGGTGCGATACGTTCTGACTTACCTGGGCAACAAAGGCAGTGAAGGAGCAACTATGAGATAAGAGTGAGGGTGAAGATTTAATTTTCTTACTATACCCCGCTTTCTCCCGTACGCTCCCCACACCAGGTCCTTCTGTGAGCATCTTTTTGACCTGTGGGGATAAGTGTCTCTAAAAGGCATATATTACCTGCGCTTAGCAGGCACTCTCAGGCTCACCCACTACCCTAATCTAGTCCTCTCCAAACGTATCAACGTGGCTCCAGTCTGTGCCTTTACTGTTCCCTTGTCTCCAAAATGGCCCAGTCTTTCCAGCGTCAAATTACGAAGGTCTCCAAATATGCTCAGCACCTAGGAGAGCACCAAAGACCGAAGAAGGTTCGTCCTCTGCCTTCTGCAAACTATCCCCGATCATGATTGTTTCTGATTCATTCTTTGGTCAGAGGACACACAGATGTTTCAGTGGCGTGTGGACTTGCCTCGCTGTTGGCTCAGTGCAGAGCTGCAGAATAGGCACTTTAGGACCCACTGTCCCCCTGGGAGGTGGGATACTGCCACCGGTTCCTGGTCTTTCACGTTGCTTTCTCACAAGCCTTACCTTTCAGGTCACACTGTAGCCACCCAAGGGTGAAAGGTCTAATGCCAATGATTCTCACCTGGGACCGTGGCTATGCCCCCCCCCCCGCCCAGGGTCACTTGGCAGTGTCTGGAGACACTTCTTGCTGTCACACAGGGCTGGAGGGCTACTTGTACCTGGTGGGTAGTGGACGCTGTCATTGTCGTGAGCCCCCACGACAAAGCCTCACCCAGCCTTTATGCCAGGAGAGCCCAGGCTGAGAAGCCTGCGTTTATCTAATGAAAATTCTGCCTGGAGGATTCTGATGTTCTCTTACATAATGAGCAGCCCATCGTTAGGACACAAGTGAGGAAGTACTGGGATTTGCTCTAAGTTCTTCACTCAGTAACACGAGTCACGTCCGGCAATATCCCAGCGCCGTGCTGGCCTGAGGCCAGCATAGCCAGAGTCCCCTGACCGCAGGGAGGGCCAGCTCTGTCACACTCCCACACATGGGTGCCTCCCTCTCTCCCTTTGCTGAAGCACCGCACCCATGCAATCCTAACTCGGGAAGAACTAAGGATGTGGGGAGTCCTGGCTCTCTGTCTGCGCTGAGCTCTCAGGCTCCTCTGGGACAGCCCAAACGGTCCATTGTCAACTGGGCTGGGCAGTGCGGCCCGAGCCTGCTCGTGTTCTCTCGCAGGCTCATGTCAGTGACGTTGCCGCTCTGGCCACCTTGCTCTGATGCCAGGGCCCTGCGCACCCCAATTCCTCCCCTCTATTTCTTCTATTGGGTTGTCGGCAAAGTCATGATGCATTTTTGCAACAAAAAGCATAGAAAAAATACGTCATGACTTTTCTAACAACCCAACAGAACACAAGGGGGTGGGGGGGTGGGAAGCGAATGCTAACTCACAAACAACGTGCTAACTATACTTCTCACTTTAAGTTCAACCCTCAAGAAAGTTCTTCCATGTGCAATAAACAGCTGTGAATCAGCCCAATACAGTAAGGTTTCTACCCCACTGGTGTCCCGGAGAGGAGTCACTGGCCACCTGCATCTTTTGAGTTGCATTAATAATTCAGCTCAAGATGAATTTGCATGATTAACATAAAGCCTCGTGATTTTATTTTCTTTCAGCATTAAAATACTGAAACCACCACCATTGTTTTCATTTTCAGAGGTTGTGATCAAAACACAAAACTGGATTCCAGAATGAATAATGTCTCTTAGAAAAAGTACTTTCAAAGACCACTCTCAATGGAATCAAAGAAGTGCTACACGCCTTTGTAGACACAGGGAAGCCCTGCTCTTTCTATGGGTGTGTTAGCCCACAGGGAGCGAGCCGCATCTCCAAGATTGTCCTTCACGCCTTCCCCGTAGAGAAGTGTGGCCCGCTATCCCATGGCAGCCAGGAGGGCTAACACACATGGATGCATTTCAGCTCCTCAAGGCAGGGCTCTCCACACTCACCTGGTCAGGACCTGGAATCACCAATGAGTCTTTAAGAGGAAACAGCCGTTCCCTTGGATTCCACTAATAGATCGATCACGTCATCCGCAGAAAATAGTAAAAACCCAAACCAGATTAAGTCGCATTTGGAAAACCATCTGCCCATGAGGCAGAGACGTGCATGGGAAACGATAATTTGCAAAGCAGAAGAGGCAGCATCGGTTGGGCTTCTTGACGAATATAGTAAAACAGGTTTGTCTGATGGGAAAACACGCATTACTATCAAAAGAAAAACGTGTGCCTCTCACACGGCGCAGGAAGCAGGCTCTCATGCCCGAGGACCATTCCGGGCTGTGCCCGCCTGCTTCTCGGCCTGCACGCGTTTCCTTAACACAAAGGCCGACGTTTCTGTTCACAAATAGTTAGGGGGCAGGCGGTGGTCTTTGGGCGCGAAGTGCGCGCTGCGCACGTTTGCACGCGCGTGTCGGTGGCGCTGACACCTCTGTTGATGTTTCCCAATGCAGGAACCATGGTCAGTAAGGACAGCGGGAGATGCGTACTCACATCATCGGAGAGTGACGTGGAGCCCGCCGCCTGCCTGGCCCTGGAGATGAAATACGCGCTGGATCCCAACCGGCAGATCAAGAAGCGGAACAAGGCCTTGCAGGTGCGGTTCAAGGACATCTGTGAGGCGCAGAACGAGCAGAGGGGCGCGCAGCTCTCCGCCGAGCAGGCGGCCGAGAAGCGGGAGGCCAAGCCCGCGCCCCGCAGAGCCTACCGCAAGTACATGACCGTGCCCGCGCGGCGGTCCATCCCCAACGTCACCAAGAGCACAGGCGTGCAGACCTCGCCGGACCTGAGAAAGTGTTACCAGACCTTCCCTCTGGACCGCAAGAAAGGGACTCTGAAAAGCCTCCCCGCTGCGGACGCCTTTAAAAGTCAAAACAATGGGTTTGTAGTGGATTCTAAGGAGAAGCGGGAGGAGGCGTCCCGGGAGGAGGCCCGGCCGTGGGTGCAGAAGACCACGGCCTTGGTGTTCCATTCCGACGAGCACATGAACGCGCTGGACCAGCCCGCCGGCGTCAACTGCGCGGAGCCCTGCAGAAACCCCGACGTGCGCGGCTGCAGGGACGCGGCTGCACACAGCGCCCCGGGGCGCCCCGCCCAGGAGCCCGACCACCAGCGGCCCGGGGCAGCGACCCCCAACGCTGAGGACAGCACGCCTTCCGCCCCCGGCAGGGTGTTCAAAACCGAGGTGGCCGCGGTGTACGCACCTGCCCCCGCGGCCAAGGCCTTGTCCAACTCTGCCGCCGCCAGCGAGTGGTCGCTGTGCCCCGCGGCCGAGGAGGAGCGGGGCGGGGCCGCCCATGTCAATGGGCTCCAGGCACCCCCCACGCAGTGCCTGTCCCCCGAACGTAGTGACCGGCCCCTGCAGACTCAAGCCGCACCGGGGCAGCAGAACCAGCCCTGTCCAACAGAGGTCGCTCTGGGGGAAGAATGCCAAAAAATCGTGCCTCCCACAGAAGTGGTGGACCTGAAAGCACAGCTGCAGATGATGGAGAATTTGATCAGCTCAAGCCAAGAGACCATCAAAGTGCTGCTGGGAGTCATTCAGGAGTTGGAGAAAGGAGAGGCTCACCGGGAAGGGTAGGTACACATGCTTCTTAAGACGCTCTGTAGGCTCATCACCCCAGGGTCCATCGGTAGCTCTCCCAGACCCAAATCCATACTGAGGCGAGAGCCAGCATTTCTGCGGACAGGCTATGGGCCCGAGCACAGGGCAGGCCCAAAGGGGTCACAGATGGTTTGATGACGCTAGACTTCATTGCATGCTACCTTCAAGGTTTACGTGTTAGCCGGCACTCACCCGCCTGGCCTGGAATTCAAACCATGTGTGTATGTTGCATGGGTTCATGCAGCTTTTCTTGTTATGTCTGAGGACCAAAGGTTTATGGTAGTGATGAAGTGTGAGAGGTATGCCAGTCCAAATAGCTCATCTACACAACAGACGACCCGCCCCTTAGGAATCGCATTATGGCAGAGAGAGGAAAGAATTCAGATGGCATTTTGAAAAGTAAATGCTGACTCGCTCATAGTAAGCAATTGGAATAGCCTTGACATTCAGGACGGTACAAGGTTTTCTACAACAGACAGCATGTTTTACTCTCCTTACCTGACTCGCTGAAGCAACGCCCGTCCTTCGACGAGCCCTATCTGTGTGACTACAAGACAGATGCCTTTCCCCTGACACTGCTGCCCTATGTGTCCAGCTGGGCTGTAGAGGGAATGATACCAGCTGAACAGCCAAACTGTCTAGCATCTTTAGAACTTGGAATTGTGTAACAGCAAGTTTAAAAACAAATGACTCAAAAGGTAGGAGCCCCTCAGCTAGGAAGGCGCGTGGGGGCCAGGCAGAGTGCCACGCTGACACAAAACAGCCAGCGCTGCTCTGGCTCTGTATGTCCGAAAGCCCGTGGCCGACTGGCCTTGGCCTAGACAGCCAGACCTCCTAGTTACCATTCCACCTTGAACCTGTCTGGATCCGCTCCAGCCTGTGTTTGGGAGGTGGCATCTGAGGCGGTGCCCTGTTGTCTCATGTGATCAGCCCCGAGCCCTGGGGAAGTGAGCTGTGGGCAGCAGTACGGTAAGCCAGGGAACGCATCCTCAGGGCAGCAAGCCACCCCACGCACAGTGTGCTCCAGAGACTGCTGTGCTTGTGTTACACAGTGTTTGCATATTGCACACAACAGGGAGGGCACAGCCTCTGAATTCCAAGGCAGCAGGTAAGGCTTCAGCCCAGGCTCCCAGGCAAGGCGCCAGGTGCGGGCTCTGCCCCTGGCTTCTGGCTTCTCCAGCTTAGTGAAGGCGGCCCATCTACCAGAGGAGTGAATTCTCAATAAGCCCCACTTCCGGTTTACACAGCATGGTTTGCAGTCGCTGGCGGGAAGCAAAAAGTTGCTGGCCAGTGGTAATCTAACAGTAGATTGAGAGTAACCTAACATTATGGAATGTTCTCAAATGGCCTTGTTCGCTCTTAGGCGCACATCTCCATTTTCACCCCATTTCAATCATTTAGACTCGAGTAGGTACATGTTCCAAAGCAACACACTAAGATGAGTCCACAGGCACCTGTCTGTCGATCAGTAGACCACATTCCCACGGAAAACTGAAGAGCCTAAACAGGGACCTGATCACTGACTTGGATATTGTGACTTAAACCAGATGGCAAAATAGAAAGGTACGAACACTACCAGTGGGGCAATAAAATTCGCCAAATGTTATAAAGCCAAATAAACGCATATGCTAATGTGCATGCTTACAGGGGTACGTGCAGGAATGAAAGCCTGCAAAGGCTGAACACCCACGAACCCGCCCCCCCCCCAAAAGGAGAACCGTGCTGTATGCTATGTGTAGGTTCTTGTTTACATGATTAGAACAAGTGTGGAGATTTGTTTTAAATTGGATCCTCTGAGTTCTTGGAGACTGTCTCAGTTTACAAAGTGGTTCCAAGATGAGAAAGACAAGTCCAGGTGGGAATTCTGGCTCTGAGGACTTGGGCAAGGGCGGCACCTCTCTGGGCCTTATTTCTTTATCTGTAAGTTGGAGATAATGGATCACCCGTCCTGCAGACGGAGCGGGAGAATGACACGGAGAGAGGTTGTAATGTGTTTAGCCCAGGGCCAGGGCAGCTGGACGGGCAATGTCTGCTGGTGCTGTGAGTGTCGGTCTTGCTGGTCAGCAGTGCTGGGGTCTGGGGAACACAAGGCAGCCCCCTGTCTGAGTCCAGCGTGATGAATACACCTCCCCACTCCGAGCACACAGGCTGCCAGCCAGTGCCATCCCCGAAAGCCCTAAGCTGCCCCGTCCAGTACAGTGGCCACTAGCCACATGTAGCTGTTGAAATTCAAACTCAAGCTAATTACAAACCAAAGTTCAGTTTCTCAGTTACACTGGCAACATTTCCAGTATTCAGGGGCCTCGGGGTGGCTGGCTACTGCAGAGGACACATTTCCATCATCACGAAAAGACCTTCACCTGAGGCCCCGAAACTAGGCAGAGCAAGGCTAAGGCTGACTTGACCTCAAATTAATCGCTAGTTCAGGTGTTGTCTGCACAGGCCAAGCTCCTGATAGAAAGGCACGTCCCCATCCTGCTGAACCCCCACATTTGTTCCTAAGAACCTTCATTTCCTCCCCCTTCTCTGAGCCCTCAGGACACAGAAAACAATGAAGCAAGTGGTTTCAAACGCCCAGGCCACTTGAAGGTGACCCCTCTTACCCGATGCCCAGGGTCATTAATTTGGCCAACATTCAAATGAACCCGCACTCTTTTCTAAGTCAGAACCCAGGAGCAGACAGCAGCCTCGGGGGCGGGCAGATAGGAAGCCAGACCCTCCTGCATCCCTCTCCCAGGTGTCGGGGTTCAGCAGTCATGGCGAGTGGGATACAGGTGCGCGGGCGCTGCTTCCACAGCTGGCTCCGGGCAGAGGAGGGGGTGGCGTTCGCTGGTTTTCTGCTGCCGAGGCCTGGACCTGAAGCATGTTCCAGGACCGTCACTTTAGAGCAGCGGCTCTCAACCTGTGGGTCGCGACCCCTTTGGGGGTCGAACGACCCTTTCACAGGGGTCGCCTAAGACCATCGGAAAACAAAGATATTTACATTACGATTCATAACAGTAGCAAAATTACAGTTATAGAGTAGCAACGAAAATAATTTTATGGTTGGGGGTCACCACAACATGAGGAACTGTATTAAGGGGTCGCGGCATTAGGAAGGTTGAGAACCGCTGCTTTAAAAGGAGGAGCGTGCAGGACCTGTTTTTTATACTCAGTCTGAGCTGAGAAATGAGGGTTTTCATGGCAGAAAACAGGAAAGCGCACTTTATGTAGATTATTATACTGTCATTATGTAACATGATGAAGGATTTCATGACCAAGTTCAAGTATCAGTGGAGTTTTCCTTGGGAAATATTCTGAAGTTTATAATAAGAGTAGAGAATGCTCAGAGGCGAGGTAAAATCAATTTCTGTCTCCACCGCCCACCCCCCAGTTGGCTCGGGGGCGCCTGCTTTGTATAGAATTTGGCCTGTGTTAAGAGCAGTCCCAGGGAGGGCAGGCATCTCGCGTGCATCGCGGAGCCCATGACTAGGAATCTGAGTGACAAATCCTGCCCCAGTCCACGTCGCACCGCCGGCTTGAGCCAGGCCTGGTGGGGCCGTGGCGTTGCTCTGGTGCTCAGTTAGGACAGGGCGAGGGAAGGCAAGGCTCTTTAAACTTGGCTAGTGGCCGTGGGCCAAATTATGTTTCTTGAAGCACAGTGAATGTACAACTCTAACAGGACGCCATTTCACTACTGAGTTTGTCTGGCAAACTCTTTGCAGCACTTCTTATTCTGTGCATAGGAAATTTCTGTGTCACCACCCACAGCCGCTTTCAGCAGTTTCCAAATTATTTTGTGTAAGAGACCCAGTAATCTCATTTGCTCATGTAGATCTCCAAAGGCCTCAGCAGAGAAAGTTTTCAGTTTAGGCAAGTTACTTAATCTCCCTGAGCTTCAGTTCCGTCTTCTACCAGCTAGGGACGGTGGAAGCTTAAAGGTGATGTCTACACAGCCCCTAGCAGTAACCAGTGCACGGTGGACACTGAATAAGGGGCATATCCTACGATGAGCATTTCAGGAGGATGCATTCCGTAAGTAGGTAGATGTGGAAAAGTATTCAAAATCATGCCTTTCAGTCCCTTGTGAAATGTTCGGCCAGTTCACTAAAATCATTCACTTTATGCAGCACAGGCATGAATGCCGAGAGTCACTCTGCGTAGCTCACAGCTCTCATATTATTCTTGTCTCTCCTCAGGAAGTTCAAGGTCACACAGGCTACCAAAATAAGCCACTAATGCAGTCACTGAAGGCTGCAAACCAGGCGAACGGGGCACCGAGTTTAAAAACCCAACCAACTCTTGTAATGGCCGTAATTCCCCAGAACAGCGATGGGTCGCTGGGCGGGAGCCCCCGTGACTCACGGCTGCAGGCCTGCAGTGCTCACAGTACACACACCAGCAGCTATGGGTGGCACCTCCGTGGGAGATGGCCTTCTACTTCTAAGACTATATCCCACCCATGAGTGTGGTGATGCGTCTGTTGGCTGGTGACAGCCTAATGCTACTCTGCTATTTGGAGAGAACCTGGAGAAATAGTGAGAAGCTTTATTTGAGCTACCAAGGACGAGGGCAGGATCTGCCGTTGTCCGGGGTGAAGGAGGTTCTCTCATTGGTCAGGTCTCTCCCAGCATCTGCTGGGTGCTACCTGCAGGCTCAGATGTGGGGCAGGAGTGGGGAGCAGCAGAAGCCAGGCCATACCAGCAGGCCCTTAAACGTGACGCACAGGAAGAGATGAAATCATGAAGCTCAGGGTGGGGGGTGGGGGGTTGTGGCTGTACCGAGTCAGAGCAAATGTGAGACTCGCTTAAAGAAAATCCTAAATAACCAGCCAACCCTAGAAGCCCAGTGGCTTGCAGGAAGTGACCTGCTACCCACTCACGGGGTCCTGCTCAAACTGCACTGAGTAAGGGTTTCCCTATGGGGTGATGCCCAGTTCTCCCATGTGCAGGGCACACAGTGATAGAAAAGAAAAATAAGCCATGCAGATCCC